CTAAATTTTATTTCAAATATTTTTCTAAACAAAAACAACAAAACATTTTCTTAAAATACTTAGAATTTTAAGTGTTCCTTAAATATCTTTCCCCTTTCTATCTCCTCACATTTGTTTATTTTTCGCAATCATGTAACTGTCAAAGTTTGTAATAGATAATTAGGGTTTATTGCTTTCCTCCCCCATTCATAAGCTTGCACCCTCATCCCCGAAGCATTATAATAGCGTAGGACATTTAATTTCCGCAACTTACTGCTTTCCTTATTACTGTTAGTAATTAGGGTTTGTATGACAAGACTAAAAACAAAACATTAGAAAACCTAATCTCAAGACAAATACCTGAAATCAAAACACTTCGCACACACACACACCTCTAGGGTAACCTCACTTGTTGCCTCAGATTTGAACAGCCATACCCCTCGAACGTGGGATGCTTTAGCAAAAGACCCTTAGATAAAAGATCGTAGTCCCTCGATGAACCTTCGATACTACCTTCGATAGACGATTTTAGTCCCTTACAAAAATTGGTAAAGCATCTTCCAAGTTACCTTCTATGACTGTATGATGACCCACGCCTGTCCCTCACATCCAATGATAGAGCTTTCTACTAACTAATGGTAGGATAGCACTATCTAAAGGAGGAGGAAAAGAACAAATACTTTTTGAGTAGGTAGATCGCTCGTAATTGCTTGCTCACAAACTAAAACAATCTTTACACTTCACACTTTCAAAACAACTACTTTTAAAAACACTTTATAAACACCATTGAAGACTGATACAAGGGTTATTATAAAGCAAAGTGCCTTGTATTTGTCATTTTCAAACATCTTTCACAAAACAACACCTTCCCTTTTCATAACCTACCCCCCGAACTCAAGAAAATTCTCAAAGGTGTTTCATGTTCTTTTCACCCTTTCCTTTATTGGATAAAAGAAAAGTCGGTGGCGACTCTTGATATCCGCAACATTTGCAATAAAATGCAAAACCAAAATCCAATTCTCCCACCATATTACAAATTGATTCGTATAGAATTTCTCTTTGATTATTAAAGTTTAAATTGCTTTATTGATTTACTTATAATCACTTTAAGTGTAAGGTCTTTTGCATATTAACAAATCTCAAAGAAAATTTTGAAAAATTGATTGCGCGCCACATGTTCGTTAAATTGCCATGTTATGTTTTTAATATGATTTCATTGGAAATAGTAAATTGTTGTGTTGGATATTAAATGGTTAGTTGTGATATTATTATGTTAAATGACTTTATCATTATGTTAATTCCATATGACTCATGCATATCCGAGTTTCCAATAACTAGGTTTATTTAGACTACTATATTAATCTAGGCCAAAAACCTTCTGCTCAAAATTGTTTTTCAAATAAGTTTTAAATAATCATTTATAAAGATAATTTTTATTTGGGGATCTATTTCCCCCCTCTAGATCTGGTGCCTTAGTCTAAAACTGGAAGTATCCTAATCAACTGGCTCTAGCTTGAAAACATTTTTAATATCTTGTGTAGATAAAAAAATTATTTTAAGTGTGTGTATGTATGTGTGTCTGTGAGAGTATGTATGTGCATGTTTGTGAGTTTCCTTAGTATCTTAGGAGTTACTTCCCTTCTTTTACAAAACTCTGGCCACTCAGGCAGACACGACCATGTGAGCTTTCACACGTCCTCTCTTACATAACTCTAAGGCCTTCAAGAGTATTCTCCAAATGCATCAATCATATAAGCATTTAAATGGAGTCTTGAGTCTCCTACTAGATGATGTTTTGGTTTTATTGAAGTTTGGTCACCATCATCAGAGAGTTGGAAAACCATTACCATCAAGTTCAACGGTAATTAAAGTTGTCATCATTAAAACTTTATAAAGGATTTTCTATGGGATCATCAAATTTATACATCGATCCATATTCTCCCCATTTTTAATGATACAATGCATGTCTATGGAAGGTGGTAAACAAAAAAAATAGATAGATATATAATTAGAGTGGTTAAGATCCACCTCAATTAGGTAGATATTATACTCTTCTCTTCCTGAAAATTTAATTCTTCCCCTTTGGCATAATCAAAAAGGAGGAAAATAATCAAAGCACATATATCACATATATACTTGGGTAAAAGGAACGAGATACTTGATAAGAAAACATGGGAGAATTTTCTAGAGTGAGGCATAAATAAGAACACGAGGTCATACTTCTCCTCAGGATGACAACTTCCTGTTTTGAGATCAACTAGTAGGTAATTTTTTAGAAGTTTTTTTTAGTTCTTTCTTGAACAAACTTTAGTTATATTTGAAGCTTTTTAAATTGAGAGGCACTTCTGAAATATCTTTATTGATGGGATTCCTTCAAGGAGATAATTATTTCTTCTTAGGAAATATTTGGACAACCTCTTTTTAGCCTCCTTGGTATTTTGGGTCTTGGGTTGATATTGGGCTTTAGTCATACTAGTTTAGTCATATTGGATTGATATCATCCCTTTGCTTCAAGAACAATTAAGACTCAACCAAATATTAGTAAAAGTAATCTTAATTAACTAAGCAATTAATAAAACACTTACAAGAGAGTCAACCACCATTTTTTTAATTTTTCAATCTCTATTAAGTTTACTAAATGAAAATATCAAGATAACTTGAGAAAAGAAAAACTTCCTTTTTTTTAAGGAACTACAAACCACCATCAATTATCTTTCTCTATGGATCAATTGATACGAGAGTTTGTCCAACTATAGGGCTGATAAATTTACACATTTATCTTCTTAAACTTCTAATAGGTTCCATGATTTTAGTTATTTAATGAAACTGTCAACATCAACACTTTGATCACCTACATTGAAAAACACCCTCAACATCAAGAGCATCAAGAGAGATAAACGTCATCGGATAATCACTTCTAAATGTATACCTAAGATAGTGTAGCGGTAAAATCAATAAAGTCTCCACCAAGTATTTATTTATCCCATATAAAGGGAAAGGAAAATCATCGAAGAAAAACCTAAAGGTAGAAATCAAGGTCTTGTAATCGAGAGATCGGGTATGGGAGTCGATTACGTAAGGGAAAAGTATTAGCACCCCTCACGTCTGTAGTACTCTACGGGATCCACTCTTGTTGTTCTAATCAAAGGGTATGTTCAATCTAATGCTTAAGAGATAAAAGAAAAAAAATTCTAAGAGGGAATGCATGCAAAGAAAACACGGGGAAAAGAAGGAAATATTTACAAATTTTTGCTCGGCTGAGCCCCGTGACCAGATGCCTACGTATCCCTTTTAAGGAATCAGAGTGTCGTAGTTCGGCTCACAAATTTTTGTTTGTTTGTATTTTTTAAATGAACAGTGTTAAATTCACTCATCCCACCACCGCTCGACCATTGGAGACTCACGCACTATAGTGGAAAGGAATCAACATGTTCTTAGAAGAGAAAAGTCGAATAGCGAAAAGAAATGAATTGGTTGGTGTTTTTTACCATGAAAAGGATTTTTGTATGTTTAGCATGTTTTATACATTTTCCAAAAAGAAGTTTTAGTTTTAAATGCAATTATGAAAAAATGGGAAAAAAACACCTAAGGGAGACTAACCTACCTCTAACCTAGTGTTATCATATAATGATGGCCCACCATCAAGGATGGAAAGGAAAATCTCTACCCTATGTTAGTATGCATGGATAACTATCCTAATGTCTAACTCGAAAGTTACCTTAATCGAGCGACCCTAAGGGAACATGCGAAGATCAAAGTCGTTATCTCAATTCTAATTGAGTGACATCATCGATCGTCAACAAAGGAAAATGAAAATCCTAAGGGGAGCATGCAAAGATCTAAGTCGTTATCTTAATTCTAATTTAGTGACATCATCGATCATCAAGAAAGGAAAATGGAAATCCTAAGGGGAGCATGCAAAGAACGAAGTCGTTATCTCAAATATAATTGAGTGACATCAAAGATCATCAACCAAGGAAAATGAAAATCCTAAGGGGAGCATGCAAAGATCGAAGTTGTTATATCAATTCTAATCGAGTGACATCATCGATCATCAACAAAGGAAAAAGAAAATCCTAAGAGGAGAATGCAATGATAAAAGTAGTTATCTCAATTCTAATTGAGTGACATCATCGACCGTCAACCCATGAAAACAAACACAAACAAAATTAGAAAACAAGTGAGGAATTCCTGCTACAGGTCATTAAACAGTGACTTCGAGCGCACGCTCTTTATTATCCTACTTCTCATGATATCTAGAAAGTAATAAAATACAGAAAGATAAATTGGAAGCATTATAATACCAAACGAACAACAATGTTCGCAAAAAGTGCAACCAAAGCAAAAAAATCTAGAATATTTCGCGCGAGCTAGCATCAACAAATAAACAGTCAGAGATTGAATGTTCTGAATAAGTGTCGAGGCATCATCGTTGTGAAAATAAATCACAATTGGAAACTCAAGCATATCCGCATATCACATAATAAACCCGTATAAGACTAAAATCTCGAAAAGCAAAAGTGAATCACAAGTCCCGAACAATTGAAAATCATGAACTAATTCCTAAAATCAAATAAAAAGTCTAACAATTTTTTTTATTGATTTTTTATTTTTTATCATGTGGAGAAAATTCAAACAAATCTAAACAATTAACAAAATTATTTGAAAGAAGTCACAAATAGAATAAACCCAAAGGGGGTGCAAGCCAGGACCCAAAGGTTAAAATTAGAATCAGGGAGTTTAGCAAGTGAAGGTTCAGGCCCACACACAACCTTAATTCGTTTCCTTCTTTCTCCTTTCCACGATCAACAACCTCTAACCTCCCTCCTCCTTCCACCGTCTTCATTCAATTTCCGGCCACCATCATCAATACTTTGACATCCACACCTCCGTCAAATTCTCTTTAAAACCTCCATCGATCTCTTGCTCATGATGGTGCAACTTCGCTCCATCTCAAATTGTTCATCTCGCCTCCGATTTTGTACCCAATCTCAACCACAACATATCATCTCTTCAACCATTCAAAAGAACAACATGGCAACATTATATGCCAAAGGAAAAGATTGAAAGGTGTTACCTACCATAGACGAGTCCGCTGCTCCTTCCACGCTGTTGCAACGATGAGAAATCCGTATATCTTTCCGCGAAGTTTCAGGTATGCGTACTCGTTTGTATCTTTCTTGTTGTTTTACTTCTCTCTTTCTACTTGTGTTGTGGTACTGCTGTGAGTTGTTGTAGAGATGACGCCGAAAATTAAAGAAAACTCTGATGAAATCATTGTTGTATGATGTTGCAGGAGAAGCAGTGATGATGAAGATGCAAATATTGTTGCAGATTATTGATGAAGAAGGGATATGAATTTCAGAGAAGTCTTCAGATGAAGATCGACAGGATATTGCAGAAAAACTCAGAGAAGGTTGAAGTAGTTGATGGAGGTTGAAGAAGGTTGAATATGAAGATGATGTTGAAGCGTGAAGGTCCGAGATGGAAGATTGAAGGTGCGTGAAGGTGAAGATGGAGAAGAGGGAGAGAGATTGCAGAGAGAGTTGAAACGTGCTAATTGAAATTTTTCTGTTATCTTTTTGTGAATGAATGGTGAAAAGTGAATCCCTCTTTCCCTATGAACTCCCGATTTGTTATATAGGAATTTTTCTGTGAATTTAGTTATAACTCAATCAACTCAGGCCATTAGATTGTCAAAATCGGTTAAGAGATAAAGGGCCTAGATTGATTCGGTTAGGAGTTAGTTTTTAGTTAGTGATTCTGTTAGAAATTATGTTAGTTGTTAGTTAGGATTGTTAACTTCTATTAGCTCTGTTAATACCTTCCAGTGTGATTTCTATTAGGAAAAATAAGGGTTGAGATTGAAAGTTGTCTCATCTGAAATTCTATTATGCTTGCTGAGCCGTAACTCAGTTTTTTTAACTTCCTGATTTTCTTATGCAAGTCTTCAGACATATTGCAATGTTTTGAAACAGGGAAGGGTTGTTTATTTGCGTCGGATTTAGTTTAAAGTGATGCAGTGCATGGTTGTTAGGATGTGATGCAACTGGCCTTCTTGTTGATTGCAGGGCTATAATAATCAGCTTTTGATGGAGCAATGGTTTTGAAGCAACGCTGAGATTATGGCCCGAAGTATTGAAATTCAACTTGGTTGAAAGGATGAAGTAAGGTGAAGATGAAATAGCATGAGATTGATGAATAATGGAATAGGTTTATATTTTATGAATTTGGTTTTTGGTGTAACTTTGTAGTGAGTTTTGAATTTCTCTTTCAATCAATGAAGTAATTCCAAGAAAAAGCAACTTGACTTTTTCTTTTAATTTGAATCTCAAATTTTACTCCAATTCTTCAATTTAGACATCCAATCTTCCTTCATCTTGCAATCTTGAATCAATTATTGATTTTGTAATGCCTAGTCTTTTTCTTCTAATTTCATCTTGAATAAATCTTGTCCTTTACAAAGAAACTTCACCCATCTCAAGTGATCTTCTCGAATTACATTTCCTTTTGGCTTTGGAATAATGACATGATGAGTTAAGAGAACCAGAGTAAGTTTTGAAACATGGCATGCTCGTAACTTTTCATGAATCAAGATGTAAGTTCCAAATTCCAAGCAAACCAAATTCACTAATTTTCTAGTTTTGCAACCTTAATCTTGAAATGATACTTGTATGAAAAATGTTAAGGCCTTTGTAATTCAAATTCTTGATGGTCCACTTGACAAGATTTTGAACTCAGATTATACTTTGAATTTGTCACTTGTAAATTGTATTGCAACAAAACAATATGCATGAATTCTATTGAATCAATCTTGAAAGAAACATTTCACAATAATGAAACCATTCTCTACTTCACTCCTCAAATTCAAGTCAACTTTCAAACAATCAAGAAGTTGAAGAGATAACAAGGCCTTGATTACAAAGAATCCCCAAACTCCTACCATGTTGTATACTCGCTCTTTAGTCAACAAAATATCATGCTGAAAACCCAAAGCCACACTTAATCATTTGGCAAGTCTCACCATAAAAAGAGAACCATGATTCAATCCTCTAGACTTATTGAAAAGAAATGACTCGTAGAGCAAGTAATTAAGGGAAACTCTACATGATGATGATGAAATCACAATAAGGAACAGATGACAATCCTTGTAGTCTTAAGGAGAAAAACCTAGCACGATGAACTTCTGTTGAAGATCTAATACCAAGCTCCAAACAAGATAGGAGAAACCCTAAATGATTTTTCTCTGTGTGCCCATTAATGAAGAAGGATTGAGATAATGAGAGGAATAAAACCCTGGATTCAGAACATTCTCAATGAAGACATGATGAAATCTTGAGCACCCGGTAAACCCTAAAGTACTCATTTCTTGAAGAAATTCTGATGAAGACAACCTTATATCTCAAAGAACCCTGCCAGTGAAGACGTATATGATGTTTGTGATCCAAAACCCTAGTTTCATACCAATAATGATGAGAGCACCAATTAAACCAACTTTGAGTAAGGTAGAAACCTCAATTCATATAGAAAAACTCTAATGCCAAGAGCCCTTTGATCCCGTAACCATGGAATGATGATATGCATGAGATGTATATGATGTATGAGGGATCTTAGGGTCTAAAATTGGGGTATAACAGCTGCCCTTATTTTAGTGTCTTCTATTCGGAGATACAAAGTTTAAAATCCTCGTCTCGACGTGATTGAAGATACTTTAATACAAAATAAACCCTATTTTTGGCCCTAAGATGCCAGGCGATGCTTATGATTATGAATGTAAAAGATAAACTTCACATAGGTGAACAAGACGCCACTGGGAAGCAAAAATAAAAACTAACAGACTAAAAGAGTTCGACCAGGAAAAAAAATCTCTAGGGAACAACACGACTCTGGGGATAGAGGACTTAACTCTATTAGGGTAAAGCCTAGAGAGGAGACAAAATAATATCCACTCAATAAAACAAATAAAAAATAATGGATAACAACAATTAACCGATAACTGCGAACTATCCACTCATAGAGGAGATAGAAAAAATAGAGTAACATCAACTCAAAGGGGATCAGAAACAGCTAACCCGAAGGGCGCGAATAGAAACAGTAAGATAATACCAGCTCAAAGATGACGATAAACATCAACATAGAGACTAGTAAATGATTGATTGGTATCACTACTTATTAATGGTAACAATTATTTGACGTAAGCACTTTGTTGTACCCCAAAATTTGCCCTCTCATTTTACTCAAAACATACTCCTAGAGATCCTCAATTTGCTCAAGGTTGCCCAAGAGTTGACCAGACAAATTCTCTCATAAGGCAATATGTCTTAAACTAGGCTTTCCATTTTCATCAAGATGGGTAACCTCAAAGGACTTAATATGCTCTCCATGGTTATAATATTCTCTCAAGACCCTCCATGTCAAATTTCAAGCATTGCACAAGAAGTTTGCTCAGTCAACTGCTTAGATGCTTGAGAATCGACTGTATTAGGTCAAAAGTCAACTGTGGCCCACATACAGTCAAAATTCAAGATTTTTGGTCAAAATAAGAATTTTTAAGTTATGTTCATCATTTGATCAAGGGTTGATCATGATTCCTCAAGGAATGCCCCAAATTCATCAAAACCCAAAAGTTGCTAAATTAGGGTTTCTTAGGAAAAGTCAACCAAACTTTGACCAAGCATAACTTCTTCATACTTTATTAGAAATTTTCCATCCAAGTCTCATTTTGAATAGGATGCAATTCCCAACAATTAATATTCATCCCTCAAGTTCAAAATATGCACTCACAAAAATATATGAATTTCCACATTATAGGTCCTTTTGAAAAGTCAACAAAAACACTTTGTGGGTCAAAGCTTCTTACATGAACATGGGAGACTCAATTGAGATGAGACCAAAAGGGTTGATTAGGGGACATCCTAAGATTTCTATAAAGTCCAAGAGAATCTATCTAGGGTTAAAATTGGAAGAGATATGCCTTGTCAAAGTTGACCTTTTTTGCAAAATTGCCAAAAGTCAAATGTGCTCCAAAATGCATTTTTTGCCAAATGGGCCTATCTTTTTATGCTTGCACCTCACTCATAACATGGTCCACGACCAAAATATTCACTCACATGTTATTTTCTTCATTATTTATTTTATTTTGATTTTTTATTTATTAAAAATTGAATTAAATCAAATAATTGGTAAATAATAGCAAAGATTTGTTTTGATTGGATTTTTGGACAGAATCACAAGCTCATTATGCTGGCATATCAGAATCAAATCAAATCAAACTAATTGGCACAAGAATGGCATGATTAGGCCAAATTTGGAAGGATATTATACCACATGAAAACCAAATCAAATATCCATAAATTTCAAGATACAAGTTGTTTTTTACAACCCTAATTCGTTCCAGTACATATACACAATGCATCCAAGGTAAAAGGAAGTGGTGGCAGTCGTGAGAAAGAAAGAACAAAACTCAAAAAAATTGATAAAAAGTTGTGACTCGATTTCAAGCTTGGAGGCTAATTCAAGCCATTGCGTTGCCAAACGATTCTTGGACCTTCCCAGAAGCTAACCCAATCGATTGCAGGTCCTTTCACGTGCAGAAACGCTTGCTACATCTCATACAGTTTGCCTACCTTTTTCAAATTGATTACAATCATTCTCGCATCATTAGCATGATTTGATGATATATTTGTGACCATTGATGTATTTCTAACATGTCTGGATTGTGTAATTGGGTTTTTGATGCACATACTGAGGTTTGCCATTGTTAGGTTTTATTTGGTCGTTTTAGGGTTTTTTCATACAGGTAAAATTGGCCACAGAAAAGGTACTAGGATGCTCGTGGCATCAAGACGGTTTGATCCATGTAACTGGAATTCATTTATCACGCGTTGTGTTGATTTTTGAAGGTTGCAGGTTTGTAGCTATGGAAGATGTTCGTAGGTATAAGTATTATACCTAAAATGAAGGACTGAGGAAGAAGGTGATAACGTGGCAGCCAACCACTGGGCCATTCAAACTGGCGCGTGTTTTTTTGTTTCGTCCACTAACTCATGTTTTAACATATATTATGAATTATTGTTATTTGATTAACAAATAAATCACGTAGCGCAGATGGCAAGCATGCATGTTGGAAAGGGTAGAGGACCTGGGTTTGATCCCAGGTCCCAACAACTTTCTTATTTTAATTGTTCATTACAGGATCCTATGCGTTGCTATCCTAGAGGTCCATTATGCACCTCCATCATCTAACCACAGGATCTAATCACGTTTATGATCAACCAGATCCAATGACTCCAATTGCCAAGGACCATGGTGTACCATCAAGAAGACTCCCCACTGGATCACACGCTGACTGGGCTTCAATCATAATGGGCTTGGATTAATTCAACATCACACCCCCCAATTGCTTAAGCAGGCCCATCTCTAATCTTTTTTATTTTATTTTATTTTATTTCTTATTCTTTTATTATTTACTCAATTCTTTTTTTCTTTACAAAATAACAAAATCATTTTTTTATCAAATCAAAATCTCAAAAAAAAAACATAAAAATCTTTTTTTTCATAAAATAGTTATTTTCTTTAATTAATTAATTTAGTTTAAATTAGGTTAATTTAATTCCTTTTCATAATTAAAAATAATTAGAAATTAGGGTTGTAAATAATTAATTTTTCTCCAAAAATAACCAAATTATTTTCTAATTAGATTTTAGGTCTCTTAATTAATTCTTCGCATTTAATTCGTCGCGCGTATTTTTAAATTACCTTTTGATTATTATTTATGTAACTGTTTCGAGGTTGTAATAGATTCTAATTAGGGTTTTAATTTCCGCATTTTATTTTCAGTTAAATAATTCTGTATTTGTGAAAGCCATGTAATAGTTAGAATTTCTATCTTCGCACTTTAAATTTCCGCAATTATTAACTGTTAGATGTATGCTAATAGGTTTGTATGGCAAGAATAT